GTACTCGATTGACCGATTGAATCGGCTTACACGTTGGACGACGATGAGCAACCAATCGAACCAACACCAGCCGACCAACCAAAGCCCTCCGCAACCAACAAGACGAGGAGCGGCAGAACTTCAAACCAACCGTGCGTTTCCAGGCTTAAAACTGCCAAGGGGGTCCTGTGGCGGCTCACCGCCACACCGCTGCACTGACGCGGTATAATACGCCGCGGCGCCGCTACGCGCCGCAGGCCTTCTACCAGTTACAAGCTTGCGGACCCACCGCCAGGTTGCGCAGGCGGTGAAGAGCCTTCTCGCGATCAAGCTTCGATCGACGAGATATAAAAGAGCTGCTCCGCAGATCTTTCCTCACTCACTCGCTTCAAGGCGAGCTCTCTCCAGGGCCCTTGAACTGAGTCGTACTCTGCCTCGGCAGAAGCTAACCAGAGACACATAGTCTCGCAGTTTTCCTCACGCTGCCTCGCAAGGCGCGTAAAAAGAAAACAGAGTCCCAGCATCGGCCGCACATTTCAACCAAGCGGCCCGCGGATACTCCACTTTCGCCGTCACCTCCTCAGTCTCTAGTGTGGAAATTAATTCCACTAGAGTTCTGCGTCCGGTTGACTCGACCACCAAGGGACACGCTCGGACACGAAGGCGACATCCGAATTCGGAGACCTCTCTCTCCTCGGTACACGGAGCAATCCGCAATTCCGAGAGCCGAGACGGTTGCCACCACCAGCACATCAGAGACTCGATCCATCGCAGTACAGACTTCACCGCTCAGAGCCTGCTCAGAGAGCAGTTGTCAGACGGAAGACCACTTCCCGAACGGAGTTCCACCGACGCCGGGAAAGGGCTGCAACGAGCTAACTCAATTGAACCGTCCTTTTTAGGACCCGTTCAACACACTAAGACGCGGCCGGTAATTCCTTACCGCGCCCGTCAATTTTCTTTGATTCTCGGCCTTACACTCTTGCCGAGAAAGCGCCTCTGGCGCACTTAATCAAAGCAAACAAAAACTTGTACTTTTACTCTACTTCTCTGACGAGGAAAAATAAATTATATTTTTCTAAGAAATTGGTCTCAATATTTCAACCAAGTCGAACACAATTCTTTAGGCAATACGCCTATATACATATTTTATTGTTTTATTATTATTATTAATGTTATTATTACTGTATTATACACGAACTAAACTTAACTTACCTTTTCTTCAGTAGGAAATAATTTTTGTACTTTTTTGCTTAAAAATAATGCTCTGCTGCTTGTAATACTGCAGTTTATGTTAGGTGACAGCTCATTACTAACAATTAGTTTTGCAAGCTTATTTCGCATATCATTATTCAACCTTTTTTCTTTTTGGTATGAACTTAGCACCAATAAGCCTTCTTCAGATTTTTTTAACACAGCTTCAAGATTCTGCAATAATAAACACAATAATAAGAAACATAACAAATTTAAATATTTTATTTAATATATTCTTCTTACATATTCATCATCAGTCAGATGTCGTTTCACCCCTAATTGATTTTCTTTATTTTCAAGTAATACATCTAGTCAGAAAAGTTATTATTTATAATAATAGTTAATATTAAACATATATATAATTAGATTAAGATTAACATAAGAATGTTTTGTTCTCACCATTAAGTTCACTAGTAGCGACAGAGACATTGTCCGAAATACTCTGCTGAGTTTCAGGCAATGATTGTAGGTAGTATATAATATCTTGATTGTGTATATTGCTCTCTATATTTTTCTGCTTTATAGGATTTTCTACTTGTTCTTGTTGTGCAGCTAGTGACTGTTGTTCATGATTAATTGTATTAGAATTTTCTTCCGGATGTAACTGTTGAATCTTGGCAAACATTTATATCAATATATTAATGTTATTTATATGGTAAGGTAGATTGCCTTACTCGACAAAGTAATGTGAAGAAAAGTAGAATGTTAAATGAATACCTCTCTTTCATTTAGATATTGTTTCACAATACTT